ACCCTGTCTCAAAACAAACAAACAAAAAAACTTAAGAAAATATTTTATAATCTTGGGGCTTTTCAATATGAAACTAGAAAACCTGAGTGAAAAAAAGTTGAGAAATATAACTCTTACACATGTTCAAAATTTTGCATTAAAAAAACACAGACATTAGTACATGATAATTTCCAACAGGTAATAAATATTTGCTGACCATATGAAGACGAGATAAATACCCAAAAGCAAACACACACACACACACACACACACACACACACACACACACACTCACACTACTTGATAACTTCTCCCCCTTTAAAACAAGCCAATAGAAAAATAGGCAAAAACACAAGCGGGCAATTTACAAGAGAACAAATAGAAAAGCCCAAATTATATAAGATGTTCATTCTCAGTAGTAACCAAAGAATTCAAAATTAAAGCAACGAGTCATTTTTACTTATATTATTGATAAACATTTTAAAGATTAATAAAAATTGTCATCAGCAGAGTATGGAGAAGTTGATGGTTGTGTATTTTTTTTTTTTTGAGTTGGAGTCTCACTCTGTCGCCCAGGCTGGAGTGCAGTGGCACACTCACGGCCCCCACAGCTTCAACCTGCTGGGCTCAGGTGATCCTTCCACCTGGGCCTTCCAAGTTGCTGGAACTACAGGCTCACGTCACCATGCCTAGCTAATTTTTTTTCGACGTATTGCGAAGGAGATGAGGTCTCACCAAATTGCCCAGGCTGGTCTCAAACCCGTGGGCTCAGGCAATTCTCTCACCTCATCCTCCCTCATTGCTGGAATTATAAGCGTGAGCCACCGTGCCTGGCTGGTTGTGTATTTGACTCAATTTTTCTAGAGGAAAAAATGAGTCAAAATTGAAAATAAGAATATGATTTGACCCAAGAAGTATGAGACTGCATTCAGACAACAACCAGATAAATGCTCAAAGGCATACTTACAGGACTGCTCAAAACAGAACTGCATATGAAACTAAAAAATTAGAAATGTCCTACATATACAAGAGAAGAGTTTTACTAAACAAAATAAGGCGCAGTAAATGACTATGCAAGGAAGCCACTGTAACTCGCAGACATCGCCGGTGGGAATACAAAATAGTACAGTTACTTTGGAAAAGTCTGGTAGTTTTTGTTTTTTTGTTTGTTTGTTTGTTTTTCTTTTTTGAGTTGGAGTCTCACTCTGTCGCCCAGACTGGAGTGCAGTGGCCACTCCTGGCCACCGCAGCCTCGACCTGCTGGGCTCCGGTGATCCTTCCGCCTCAGTCTTCCAAGTCGCTGGAACTACTTGTTCGCGCTACCACGCCCGGCTAGTTTTTGATTTATTGTAAAGATGAAGTCTCGCCAAGTTGCCCAAGCGGGTCTCTAACCCGCGGGCTCAAGCAATTCCCTCACCTCAGCCTCCCAAGGCGCGGGATTACAGGCTGAGCCACCGAGCCCAGCAGTCTGGTAGTTTTTTTTATAAACTTAAAAATACACTCACCATATGACCAAGCAATCCCACTCCTAAATCAATAAAAACTTTTGCACATGAATGTTTGTAGCTGCTTTATTCATAATCACCCAAAATGTCCATCAATGGGTGAATGAAAAAGTACTCTGTGGTACATTGTACAGTGGACTGCTACGCAGCCGTGAAAAGGAATAAACTACATGGTTGAAGCTCAAACGCACTGTGCTGAGTGAAAGATGCCAGGCGAAAGTGCTTCCCTGTGACAACATTCTGGAAAAGGCAAAACACGGCGATGGCTGCCAGAGGCTGGATGTTGTGGGAGGAGACTGACTTCTTAGAGACACAAGGAAACTCTTTGGAGTGGTGGAAATTTATATAGACGGTGGTGTTGGTTACAAGACCGCATACACTTGTCAAACTCATTGAACTGTATAATTAAAAAGGGTGTGTTTTTCTGCATGTAAATTATACCTCAATAAACCCAACATTATAAATAAAACACTCTCCAATTATTAAAAATAATTTGTTCTTAGGTTTGGTCATGTGGCAATAAGCACAGAATATATTAAGTGGGAAAGCTATTATCGTTTTGAAGAGATATTTGTACACCCATGTACCTAACAGCATTACTCACAGTAGCCAAAGATAGCAACAACCCCAAATATTCATTGACTGCTGAATGAACAAACAAAATGTGGTATATACCTGCAGTGGAATGCTTTAAGCCTTAAAAAGGATGGAAATGCTGACACATACTGCCACCCGGAGAGCATTGAACACTTAATGCTAAATGAAACAAGCCAGTCACCAAAGGACACTGTCTGATCCTCCTTAGAAGGGTTAACTGAAGGAGTCAGATTTATGGAGACAGAAAGTAGAATGGTGATTGTTTCATGGGTACAGAGGTACAGTTTTACAAGAAGAAAAGAGTTGTGGACACTGTTTGTACGACAATGTGGATGTACTTAACGCTAGTGAACTGCATACTTAAAACCAGTTAGGATGGAACATTTTCTGTGTGTGTAATTTACCACAATTATTTTCAAAAGCAGTACTCTCCAGTTATGTTGGTGGTGGCAGCTTTGGGACGTGAGCCAGCACTCAGGTATGCGTAAGCCAGCACTCTGGGTGCTGGTGATTTTCAAGTTCCTCATTTATAGTTGCGAGTTCTGCTTTGCTTTGTTTTAAAATGAGCATAGGGTTGGGTGCGGTGGCTCACATGCCTGTAATTCCAGCACTCTGAGAGGCGGATGCAAGAGGATCACTTGAGGCCAGGATTTCGGGACCAGCCTGGGCAACATAACAAGACCCTATCTCTACGAAAAGGTATTAATAAAATGGGCAACGAATTTATTATAATCCATCACTCTCTTGTTTGCTGTTTATTGCCTGTCTTCCTACTGAAGTGCAGACTTCTTGAAAATGGGCCCACAGCCCGCCTTGTCCACACCAAGTCTGCAATGCTTAACACAGAGTGGCCATCCATTAGGTAGGCATTAAAGCAATGAGTAAATGAATAAATGCAACAGGACAGGGGAAATTATTTTCAACTTGAGAAAAATTCTTTAAGACACCAGAGGAGAGAAAGGTTTCATCTGCTACTCCGAGGGAGGGGCTCACAGTTGACTTTGCAGCAGTACCAAAGGCTGACACAGGGAACACTTTGCCCCCACAGTTGTTGGGAGCAGCTTGTGAGTCCATCACAAACCAACCCGCACTCCAAGTTCAGTACCGGTGCTCTCTGTGCAAGACAGCTTCAGGATGAGACTGTGTGGATGCCCGTCCTGGCCTTCCTGTTACCTGGCCAAAAACACTGGAGTCTCTCCCTACCTTCTCTTCTTTCTCCCTCCCCTCAAACCACCACACATCCTCTTGGCTTTACTTTTTTTTTTTTTTTTTACAATGAGGGAGTTCTGCTTTAAATTCAGAATAGGCCAGGCACCATGGCTTATGCCTGTCATCCCAGCCCCTTGGGAGTTAGGCCAGGCTTGGTGGCTCAGCCTGTCATCCCAGCCCCTTGGGAGGCTGGGGCGAGTGGATTGCCTGAGCCTGTGGGTTCAAGACCAGCCCGGGCAACTTGGCGAGACCTCGTCTCTACAATAAAAATCAAGAATTAGCTGGGCGTGGTAGCGCACACCTGTAGTTCCAGCTACTTGGAAGGCTGAGGCGGAAGGATCGCTGGAGCCCAGCAGGTCGAGACCAAGGCGGCCATGAGTGTGCCACTGCACTCCAGCCTGGGCGACGGAGTGAGACTCCAACTCAAATAAATAGATAAATAAAAATACCCAGAATTCATCACTCCTCACCATCCCTTTCACTCCCACCCTGGTTTCAGTCACAGCTGACTGTCACCCAGGTCATCACTAGAGCCTCCCAGGTCATGGTGATGGCCTACTAAATGATCTTCACGCCCGCTTCAATCCGCCCCCAGCAAAATGGCTGGGGAGAACCTGTTAATATGCACATCGTGTCTCTTCTCTGCTTAGAACCCTCTGTGACTTCTCCTCCCTCTCAAACTAAAAGCCAGAGCCCAACAATGGCCTACAAGGTCCCCTCTCCCACCCCCCACGGCATCCCTCTTCCATAACCTCTCTAACTGCATCTCTGGTGTGACCATGTCATTTATCGTCCAAGCCAGAATTTTTATTTTATTTATTTTTAGAGACAGAGTCTCGCTATGTTGCCCAGGCTGGCCTCGAGCTATCCTTCCGCCTCAGCCTCCTGAGTAGCTGGAAATGCAAGCTCATGCCACTGTGCTCAGCTGCAGGATACTTTTAATAGGGAAAGGAGGCACTATTAATAATTATGCCAGGGCAGCAAGAAGAAACCTGGGCAAAATAGACATCTGTCCATCCACTCACCTCCCTCTCCTTTGTGTACTCCTAGGCAGTCACATGTTCTCATTATCATTCCTAAGCACATGCCTGCCTCAGGGCCTTTGCACTCACCGTCCCCTCTGCTGGATGTTTCTTGCCCAACACATCCACGGGACATGCCTTTTCAGCTCCTTCAGCCTTTATTCAAATGCCACTTTCTCAGTGAGGCTCTCTCTGAACCCCCAACCTAAAATGGTAGCCCTCTCCTGGTTGATTCTCTTCACTCTCCTTGGTCACATTATTTTTCTCTATAGTACTTACCACCAACGGACATGTGTGTTATGTTTACTGTCTGTCTCTGCCCCACTAGACTATAAATTCCATGAGAGTAGAAATGACAGTAGGTTTTCTGCCCGAATGCATTCCCACCATGGTGAACAATTCCTGGCATATGTTAGGTGCTCAATATATACATATTTTGTTTTTGAGTCAAGGTGTCACTCTGTCACCCAGGCTGGAGTACAATGGTACGATCAAGGCTTACTGCAGCCTCGACCTCTTGGACTCGGGCGATCCTCCCACCTCAACCTCCCGTGTAGCTGGGACCAGAGGCACACACCACCACACCTGGCTATCAATCACTATTTTTTGAACAAATTTTTTTTTAAGTTTACTTACACTCCCTTCCAAGTAGCCGGCAGACCATACACCCCATCCTGTGCACAAGTTCTGAGCCATGGCATTTGGCTCCGGGCCTCCAGACCACTCTGCACTCCGTCCAGGGAAGGTGGTAACTGAGTTCCGCTCTGTCCCACCCTGTGACCCGGGATTCTGAGGAGCTTGTTGGCAGGGCAGCCTACATTGTGAGGTAACTGGTTTCTTCCTCAGCAGAAGCAGAAGAATGCTGAGCCTGGCCCGCATCTAGGCACCAGGACTACAGTCCAATGGTGCTGTCTTCCTCCCGGTTACGCCGCTCACTTTGCCCTACGGTGGCGAGGGTGAACCCGGGAGTGACCAGAGACCCAAGTGCGCCCTGGTAGACAACCCAGCAGTTGCGCAGGGGACTGAGGACCACCCTGAGATGGGACTTTCATAAGTCCCCCAGGAACCAGGTGGGGCACCATCAGCATCAGCTTCTCCTGCTGCTTCTGCATTCCTGATTGACAGACACACTTGGGCTCCAGCCAGAGTCGGGTGCCCTCGGGCCTCAGGTCTGCAGCATGGTTTCACTGGAGAAAAACACATCGGAGGTCCATTTGAGGTCTTAACCCTGAGCCTCCGCTATCCACCCGCCACACTGAAGATGCCATTGCTCAAAAAGGACGACTGCCACAAAGAGCTGAGCTCCTTGGATGGCACGCCTAAGTCGCCCTCAAAGACCAGCAGCAGCGCTACCACAGAGAGTGTCCGCCCTGCCCCCGAGGCTGAGCTAACGTGAGTGGTCCACCGCCCTTCCAGAACGCCAGCCAAGTACGCTCCCTGGGCAGCTCGGGGCTAGACTTCCTCTTCTCTCTTACCCCACTGAATAGTAGATGCATGTGTAAACCATAAAAAGGGTAACTGGAACACCTCAGTCATATTGACATTTATTTTTGTGAACTTTTTTCTAAGTCGTAGTCTCCCAGCCACCACAGCCTTGACCTGCTGGGCTCAGGTGATCCTTCCGCATCAACCTTCCAAGTAGCTGGAACTACAGGCATGCACCACTACACCCAGCTAATTTTTTTATTTATTGTAGAGATGAGGTCTCGCCAAGTTGCCCAGGCTGGTCTCGAACCTGTGGGCTCAGGCAATTTTCTCTCCTCTGCTGGGATTACAGGCGTGAGCCACTACACCTGGCTATTTTTGTGAAAGTTGTAGCACATGCCCAGGATAAAGAGACACAAATCACAGCAGCATCTGTGATCTGTGCTTTCTTCCAAAAGGACTTTGAGACAGTGCTATTTTGAAAGGGCAAAGAGTCAACAGGAGTGGAAGGAGAAAGAGGGAAGAGGTGTAGGGACAAGGTAGGTAACTGAGGCAAAGGTTTATGTTCTTGTGAAGGCTTTTGATCTCTGCACAGCAAATTTACATTTTTCACATGTAAAAGGGGGTCGATTCACAGTAAATCAACATTTCGCATAAGATCATGGAAACATGTGGAAAGACAGAGCAGGAAGAGCCAACAGAACTCAGCTCAGGGCTCGTCCACAGAGGGGTAACAGCAGCTTGTGAGGGAGGCCATCCGGGTGACTCGCAGCCCCGCATCGTGGCAGCCATTGTCTGGGAACACACGGAAGGCAGTTTTGTGTGTGGGACCCAGTTCCCAAGCTCAGCTTTCCTCCTAGCATAGTGGGTTTGGGGTCCCCGGATCCTGTCTCCTTCCACACATGGATAAGAGACCTGCAGCAGCTGGGAAGATCGGCCCCGTGGCTCTGGGCACCAATGCTGTTTCCCGGTTTTTGCAAAACACCCGGCTAGGGCAGTCCTCCCGACACGAGCTCCAGGCTGCAGACATGGGCTCCCGCCTCTCCTCCTTCCCTTTCTTCCTTCCCTCTTCCAACCTGCTTTCCTCTCCTCCCGCATCTGCCTTTCTTCTTTTCCCTCTTCCCTCCCGCGACCAGACCCATTCAGAAAACACCACGTCACGTGCAAACCCCTTTACTGCCTTTACTGTCCAAACCCAAACACATGGAATTTTTTTTTTTTTTTTTGAGTCAGAGTCTCACTCTGTCGCCCACACTGGAGTGCAGTGGCCGCTCCCGGCCACAGCAGCCTCGACCTGCTGGGTTCCAGCGATCCTTCGCCTCAGCCCTCCAAGTAGCCGGAACTACAGACACGCGCTACCACGCCCGGCTCATTTTTTGATTTATTGTAGAGATGAGGTCTCGCCAAGTTGCCCAGGCAGGTCTCTAAACTGCAGGCTCAGGCAGTTCAATCACCTCGGCCTCCCAAAGCGCTGGGATTACAGACTGAGCCACTGAGCCCAGCTCCGTGGAACTTTTTCTGTAGGACTTTCTTGCCAATCAGACTGTTATCTTAATCAGATCGATAATAGCTCTGGGCACAATGAGATTGCAAATGACAATCCCATGTTGATAAGGACACCAGGAAATATCCCCCCTCCAGTCCTTTTGGGAAGAATTGAATTGGAGCCTTTCTCTATCAGTGTTGCATGTCAAATCCTTAAATGTCATTTGTGTAAAACATACAAATACTGGCTGGACGCGGTGGCTCACGCCTATAATCCTAGCACTTTGGAAGGCTGACGAGAGAGGATTGCCTGAGTTCATGGGTTCCAGACCAGCCTGGGCAACTTGGCGAGACCTCATCTCTACAATAAATAAATATATAAATAACTGGGCATGGTGGCACATACCTGTAGTTCCCAGCTACTTGGAAAGCTGAGGTGGAAGGATTGCCTGAGCCCAGCAGGTCAAGGTTGTGGTGGCTGTGAGTGTGCCACTGCATTCCAGCCTGAGTGACAGAGTGAGACTGCAACTTAAAAAAATAAGTTTAAAAAATAAATACAAATACTTAATTGGCAGATGCTATCTTTGAAATTACACACACACACACACACCTACAAGACAGCAATAGCTGCTTCTGCAGAAGATAACTGGGGGACTGAGAGACAGAAATAGGAAAGATCTATATTCATTCCATATGTTTTTTGGTGGTTTTGTTTTGTTTTACCTTTTGAATCTTGTACTGTGAGCATTATGATCTAGTTTTTTTTATTAAATAAATATATACTTTGATCAGTAACTCCACTTCTAGGAATTTTTTCTTTTTCTTTTATTTTGTTTAGAGACAAGATCTCACTCTGTCACCCAGGATGGAGTACAGTGATGTGATCATAGCCCGCCACAGCCTTCAACTTCTTGGCTCAAGTGATCCTCCCGTCTCAGCCTCCTGAGTGGCTGGGACTACAGGAGCATGCCATCACACCAGGCTAATTTTTTTTTTGATTTTTTGTAGAGACAAGGTCTTGCTTTGTAACCCAGACTGGTCTTGAACTCGGGCTCAAACAATCCTCCCACCTCAACAGCTCCAAGTGCGGCGATTCTAGGCACGAGCCACCTCACCTAGCCTAGGAAATTGTTCTAATGAAATACTATCACAAGTACGCACGATAATTTTCAATGAAGCAATGGTTATATTATTGAAAATATGGAAACATGAAGAGAATGACTAAAGTATGATGCAAACACACTATAGAGTAAAACACAGCCCTCACAAGTGATGGAAGAAGTCTATGGACATGGAAACATGTATGGCACACGTTATTCCCAAGGAAAATTAGTCAAGGATCCAGGAAGCCCGTATAGCAGTTCTCTTTGTGTAGAATTCAGGGCATTTAGGAGCAAGCATGCTCAGAGGAATGTTCATCATAATCTGTGGCTCTTTCCAATTGGTGGGATTTGGGCATTTTCTTTTGTAGTGACAATGAATTATTTTTCAAGAAGAAAATTTAAAGCTAATTTTTGGCCAGGTGTGTGGCTCATACCCGTGATTCCAGCACTTTGGGTGGCCAAAGCAGGAGGATCACTTGAGCCCAGGAGTTCGAGACCAGCCCAGGCTACATAACAAGATCTCATCTCTACAGAAATAAAAACAAAAGCAAAAAAACAAATTAGTTGGACGTGGTGGTCTGTAGTCCCAGCGAATCGGGAGGCTGAAGTGAAAGGATCACCTGAGCCCAGGAAATCGCAGCTGTCGTGAGCCTTGATTGTGCCATGACACTCTAGCCTGGGCAACAGAGTGAGACCCCGACTCAAAAAAAGAAAAAGAAAAAGAAATAAAGCTAATTTTTTTAAGTCCTAGGGGAGCTCCCAACATGTATTTGTGCTCCAAGGCCTGGGTGGTTCCGATTCAACTGGTGATGTCACTGTCACTGTCACTGTTGCAGCAAAGAAGTGGGAGACTGAGGGAAGGAGGGCAGGAAGCTGGGGACAGAGCACATCTTTTGGAGAAATTACTACTAAAGAATTGATAAAGGGGAAAAGTAGAGTTTTTTCACTTTGACATATTTTTCAGGAGTTGCAGTTAGCAAGAAGTCAACGTTCTCCCTTGTAAGTGAAGGTGCAATGCGTACCCCCATCCTTAGGGGAACAGAGTGACCCAGCAGAGATGGAGAAAATCACAGAGGTCCCAAGAGACCCACCTGTTCTCTCGACCTGACCCTCTCCCAGGCCAGTATTGAAAGGCAAAGGCTGCCGGGCTCGGTGGCTCAGCCTGTAATCCCGCGCCTTTGGGAGGCTGAGGTGAGTGGATTGCCTGAGCCCGCGGGTTCGAGACCCGACTGGGCAGCGAGACCTCGTCTCTACAATAAATCAAAAAATCAGCCGGGTGTGGTAGCGTATGCCTGCAATTCCGGCTACTAGGAAGGCTGAGGCAGAAGGATTGCCGGAGCCCAGCAGTTTTGAGGCTGTGGTGGCTGGGAGCGGCCACTGCACTCCAGTCTGGGCGACAGAGTAAGACTCCAACTCAAAAAAAAAAAAAAAATAGAACCCTGGCACCTGGCACCCTGCAGTCACCTTGAACTCTGCATGCACCGTGGCAATTGTTACTAAACTTTCTCCAGTGCATAGCATGGTTATATTACAGGGCGCTTCATCTTCCCAATGAATATTGTTCAGGTAAATAGAGGAAGGTGCAAACTAAAGCCAGTAACTATTTACATAGGCTGCAAGAAATTGATGGGTTTTTTCCTCTGGTGAATTAATACATGACCTAATGCCAATAAATACTCTGTAAATTGAGGCAATTATTACTAATTTTTCACTATCTATCTAAATGTTAGACATGTGTTAGTCTCAATAATTTTTTTTGAAGGTGAGAAAGTGGGATTAATTGAGAAAACAGAAAAGCTCCCATCGTGGGAGGGGACCCAAGGGGGCTGCCCTAGTCTCAATAATTCTCATTTGAGTACATAGATCATGAAAGAAATCATCAGGTTCATTAATGAACCAGCTGGTGTTGGGGAGTTATCCAAAATGGTGGCAATGCATATGAACTTTTTCTCTGGAGTTGTGTGGGTTAAATATTTGTCGAGTCACCAGAACTAGGATCATCCACCGGTCGGATGTTCCAGGACAGATCCCTGGGACTGAAAGCTGTCCCTGAGTCCACATCATCGGGTTTTGTTCTTCTTCCCAACAGGTGCTGGGGAGATGCCACGAGCCTTGGGCCACCCTCCCTTCCACTAACTTTGCCCTCTCGCCTCCCTCTTCTCCCCCGACAGGAGGATGCAAACCTTGATCCACTTGTTGAAATGCAACATCGGCACTGGGCTTCTGGGGCTTCCCTTGGCCATCAAAAACGCTGGCTTATTGGTGAGAGGCATCTGTGGGTTGCAAACGAGGTTGATCCATTGGGGTGGGGGTGATGGGCCCCGGAGGCTTTGGCACTGCTTATCAGCGGGTAAACCGAGGGTACCTTCTGCGACAGGAAATGTGCTCGTGGGCATCCATCCACTGGAGCCAACCTGGAGCCAAACTCAGCACCCCTGACGGCTCAGCCATTATTTATGAAGACCTGCCACGTGTGTCAGACTCCCCTGCGCCACAGTCCTCTGCATGCCCTGGGATCACTTCAGCTGTTTCCCCCATTTGCATTAACAGCCTGGTCCCTGCGGGCACTGAGTCTGCCACTCCTGTGTCCCATCCTTTGAGGGCATGTGGGAAGGTGCCTTGGGTGAGGCAGGATGCCTCCACCAACCCACATGCTCTCCTGCGCGGCCTCGGCTCTTCCATGCTGTTCCCTGCCACCTTGCTCTGTCTTTGGAAATTGGTTTCCTTTCTAAAACATCACTCTTTTCTATAAACATGAATGTCACCCTTGCCTTGTATTTTTCTGTAACTTATAGCTACTGCACCTGGAATGCTTTTTTTTTTTTGAGTTGGAGTCTCACTCTGTCACCCAGACTGGAGTGCAGTGGCCGCTCCCGGCCACCACAGCCTCGACCTGCTGGGCTCCGGCGATCCTTCCGCCTCAGCCTTCCAAGTAGCTGGAACTACGGGCATGCGCTACCACATCCGGCTAATTTTTTGATTTATTGTAGAGATGAGGTCTCACCAAGTTGAGACCCAGGCGGGTCTCGAACCCGCGGGCTCAGGCAATCCACTCACCTCAGACTCCCAAGGCGCGGGATTACAGGCTGAGCCACCGAGCCCGGCTTCTGGAATTCTTAAAGCACTCACAGAGAGGAGATTTTTTTTCAGGGGGTGCATACGCAGGTTGCTTACATGGATATTTTTCCTGATAGTGAAATTTGGACTTCTATTGAACCCATCACCCAAAGAACATGATACCTTTGTCCCCTCCCTTTTAGGAGTCCCCAGTGTCTGTTGTCCCATCTTTATGCTCATGTGTCCCCAGTGTTTAACTCCACCTAAGAGTGAGAACAGGCCGGGCTCGGTGGCTCAGCCTGTAATCCCAGCACTTTGGGAGACCGAGGCGAGTGGATTACCTGAGCCCTCAGGTTCAAGACCATCCCGGGCAACCTGGCGAGACCTTGTCTCTACAATAAAATAAATTTTAATAAATAGACAGGCATGGTAGCATGCATCTGTAGTTCCAGCTACTCAGAAGGCTGAGGTGAAAAGCTCACTGGAGCCCAGAAGGTTACCGCTGGGGTGGCCATGAGTATGTGTGCCACTGTACTCCAGCCTGGGCAAAGGAGTGAGACTCCAAATCAAAAAAAAAAAAAAAAGTGAGAAGATGCAGTATCCAGTTTTCTGTTTCCAGGTTGATTTGCTTGGGATAACGCCCTCCCATTGCATCCGTGTTGCTGCAAAGGACATGTTCGTTCTTTTTTTATTTGTATTTTATTTTATTTTAAAAATTATTATTTTAAAATGTGGGGTACAGTTCAGGGACTCAAATCACTCTATGCAAAAGATACCTGCACACGCATATTTGTTGCAACATTATTCATGATAGCAAAAACACGGAACCAATCGTGCTGCCCATCAAAAGTGAACTGGCTTTTTAAAATGTGGTGCATATGCATGACGGAATATTACATGGTCATAAAGAAGGAAAAAATTATGGACTTTGCAGCAGCTTGGATGGACTTAGAGTCTATAATGCTCAGTGATCTATCACAGAAACAAAGAACTGAGTACTACCTGTTCTTTTTTTTTTTTTTTTTTTGAGTTGGAGTCTCACTCTGTCTCCCAGACTGGAGTGCAGTGGCCGCTCCCAGCCACCGCAGCCTGCTGGGGTCCGGCAACCCTTCCGCCTCAGCCTTCCGAGTAGCCGGAGCTACAGGCGCGCGCTACCACACCCGGCTAATTTTTTGATTTATTGTAGAGATGAGGTCTTTGCCAGTACCACCTGTTCTTTTTTATGGTTTCATGTTGTTTTTTGATAGACCTGTCTTCCTCAGGTCACTGAAATCTCTGTGGGCAGGAACCATTTGATTCCCTTTACACCTCCCCACAGTGGCCACCACAAAGACTGGCACATGGCAAGTCCCAATTAACATCTATTGAATTGAATTGAGGCCAAACATAAATTCATTCAGTGGCAGTGAATGTTTCCTTCTCTCCAGTCTGGAAAATGGCCCCCCCCCCGTCTAAGGAAGGCAAGATCCTGGCTTCCTCTGACATGACTTCTGCTCTTTAGTGGGCCCAGGACAGAGATGGGACTCTCTCTTTGGAAATCCTCTGGTTTTTGTAACTTCTGCAGAAGATATAGCCTTCAGTCAGAGTATCTTGAGATTTTTTGCCAGTGTAATATCTGCCTTTTCTTTTTAATTTCTTGAGTCAGGGTCTCACTCTGTCACCCAAGTAGGAGTGCAGTGGCACAATCACGACTCACTGCAGCCTCGATCTCTTGAACTCAGGCGATCCTTCTGCTGCAGCTTCCTAAGTAACTGGGACTACAGGCGCACATCACCATGCCCAGATAATTTTTTGATTTTTTTTTTTTGTAAGTTGAGATCTCACTATGTTGCCTAGGCTGGTCTCAAACTCCTGGACTCAAGCAGCCCTCCCACCTCAGCCCCCAAAAGTGCTGGGATTACAGGTGTGAGTCACCACACCCAGCAGGTATTTGTTGTTTTTTTTTTCTCCCAGACTGGAGTGCAGTGGCCACTCCCGGCCACCACAACCTCGACCTGCTAGACTCTGGTGATCCTTCCACCTCAGCCTTCCGAGTAGCCGGAATTATAAGCACACACTACCATGCCTGGTTGATTTTTTTATTTATTGTAGAGATG